GAAACACAGCCTTGGAGGCTGATTGTTCAAAGTCATTGTTTCTCCTTGTTTTATTCACACATATAACTCTGTCTTGTTCCCCTGTATGCTCCTCAAAGAAGCTATAATTCTCATACCTCATGAAGCAACCAGTGAGATAAACCCGACCACCTGTACTAGGCAAACAACCAGGAAGAGTAGTAAGTGCTTCAGCAGAGCATAAGTTGCATTCACGGGTAGAAAGACCACCATAACACTGAGCAAGTCCATACACCTTATCAGCTTTTGTCCCTGTAACTGCTGTCCCAAAATGTGAAGTTTCCATTTTGGTGCTGATGTCAGCCATTGCCTGGCCAAAGTTCAGACTGAAATCGGTTCTGGTGTTCAATTGCTGATTTTCACAATTCCTTTGAATGAGCTGGCTTTTGGCATTTCCTGTTGATCCATTTTTATGATTAGGATGAGATGAATGAAAGGATTTGCATAAATGGCTATACAAAATGAACTCCTAAAGAAACATGTATTGAACTTACCTCCATTATTAGTATTACCCCTGGTTGGGTCAGCATTGAGAAAATTGGTATTAGAATACCTCATAAAACATCCAGTATGGAGTGCACGTCCCTCAGACCAAGGCAAGCATCGAAAGATAGAAGAAGATGCTCTCTCCAAACATTCTTTACAAGAACTCTCATTCAAAGTCCCCCAACAATCTGCCAGCACATAAGTAGACTCATTTACTGTCCCCACCGATGCTAATGCCACCTTTCTTGCAAAGTAGTCCCTGTTTGTTGGTGCATCCCTCGCAGCATCTGAGATAGCCTGCCTTGCTGAATCCAAAGATACACCATACCTTGTTGTATTCCCACAGATTACTGTGTCATTTGATCCTGCATTCTCCTCAAAGAAGTTGTAGTTTTGTGTTCGTATGAAGCAACCATCAAGAAACACTTGGCTGCCAACACCAGGCAAGCAAACAGGAATAGCTGTACGTGCTGCAGCATAACATATCATACAGTCATCTGCTGAAAGATCACCATAGCATTCAGCAAGTGCATAGATAAGGTCAGGTCCTGTGCCCATAACTGCTGTTGCTCTGTGTGATGTTTGGATTCGGGTACTGATTTCCTCCATCACGCGCACAAAGTTTGGAATGAAGTTTGCAGAGGTTGCACGCTGTTGAGAACATGTTAAGTTAAGGACTTGAGATCTGGGATCCCCCTCTGATCTATCTACTACTAGAAGTAAAATTATCATGATAGCAGATGATGTTATCTGTACTGTTCCTTTCATCTTTATAAGGCTAGTTTGTCTTGATCGAATGATTGAGGTGTTTTTGTTCTGGTAGTTAACAGAGCTGTTCAACATGAATTATCACTTCGCCACATATCCTGGTCTACAGACACAAAGATAAAAAAAAATGGTAATACTAATCATTATATGATGTTAACACTTACTACCTAAAGGTAAGCAAACATAAGTAATTATCATCCACAGTTAGATTACAATAAGAAACAAGGAGTAACAACAAAAAAAAGCCTACATGATTGAATTCATCCAGAGAGAGAGCCTCTATTTTGCTTAACTAAAACATAATCATGACTTGTAAGAAAACAAAGTCGTAAAACATGATGCTTGAACACATAGATACTGCAAAGAGTTTACATATTGTCAATGGTGATACTAGTGACTAAGATTTTTCAAGATAATGAAACAAAAGATATTTTAATATGAACAACTGATTACAAGCATTCGCAACTAATACACATTTCATAGGAAAGGGACTACTTTACAGTTATCATTGGCCAGCCAAAGGTCAAATTTCAAACACTGAAAATGTTGTCACTAAATTCTTAATATGACCACACATTTACAATCTACATATATAGATGTAATCATATATGTATACAGGACACTATTGACTCTTATTTATCCTTTGATATTCCAAAACAAGTTATCGATTTTATAACAGATATTCACTGCTCTCAGCCGCCACTGCAATGGCAACTTTATGTTGTTATTCTATTATAATCAAATAACTTCTATCAATTTTGAAGTTCACAATTAGCAATCTTACGCGAAATGACTATCGATCAAAAGAATCGAACAGCTAATAGTCAATGTTGTAAAAATCAATTCGATTCAAATAGAACAACAAAATCATCATACTCATTATTGAAATAGGTAGCAGAGATGTGTGCATTCTTACCTAGTATGTACAGGTAGTTTATCTCGATTGTTGTGGTTGCCTTTTCGAAGAAGAGCTGCTCTTTGTGGAAATTGACGTTGAAATCTGAAAGGTGTACGCTTGGCATGGCATGTGGACGACTTTAAAGTATGACTGTATGAAAGTTTTCAGACCTAACGGCTAACACTAACACCGAACAACACGTTTTTTCTAGAAACAGCGGAACACGGAACAACGCGTAAAAAGCGCAGAAAATATATTTTAGACAAAATTATTTGGTAAAATTTATTAGATTTGGTACGTATCATGGGCTAATCTACTATGTTCCACATGTAACACCAGATATCTTCATATTTTTCCGGCAAATGTAAATTTAGTAAAAGTTTGTCAAAAATTCATTGGAAATTCATCACAAATCCATTGACAATCCATTACAAAGTAGGATAATTGTGAATTTAGTGTAAATTTGTTGGTTTAGTAATGATTTTGTGACAAAACTCCAAAAATAAGCATTTTTCTAGATCCGCCACCGATACTTATGAAAGGATTTTTTGATGGTCCATAAATTTGAAATTCTTTGTATAAGACTAATTTGTGAAAAAGTGATATTAAGTTTTTGTGAAATCGTTGATTACAAAGGGTGCGTTTAGTTGCGGAAAAATGAGCCATTTTCCGAAAAAAATTTCCAAGAAAAATGAAAATTTGAAAACGCGTTTAGTTCGTCTACTTTTCTAAATTTTTCACGGAAAATGAAATTTTTCCGTTTTCTAAAGTTACAAAGAAGTTGGAAAATTTTGGAAAACCAATAATTATTGTTTTGCACATTTTTCTAATTCCGATTTTTTTTTAAAATATAAACACGCACTCACTCCCACCTCTACGTACCCCCACCTTAACACCCCCAACCCACTACATCCCTACCTACCCACACCCATCCACTCTCAAGCCCACCCCAACAAACAC